AATATTCTTCACATATGATTACATTCAACAGAAGTTATACAAATTACACAATGAATTTCAATCAGTAAAATATGATACATTTCAAAAGGATCAAGAAATGATTAAAAGATGAAAATACTCTACCATTTGAGCTTTCACCAAGAAAATAAACACTACAAGCATTTAAACACTACATGAATTTTAATGCTGCATGAAATTGCATCAGAAAGATCCCAAACAGCAATGCTATAGTAACCCATGTTAATACTCGAAATCAAATAATTATTATAAATATACCATCATCAAACTAATAAAGCTAGCACAAGATTTCAACTTCATGCACCAAGAAAATGAAACTACAAGCACTTAACAGATGCATGGAATACCCATGCCAAAATAACTCATATCAATACTCCAGAGATGTAATGACTATTAAATTGAAATTCCATCAAATATCTTATCAAACTGATAGAATAGAACACAAAAGAAGATACAAAACAATCTAGAAGTATACATCCTCCTGCATCAACTAGCCATGGTAAATTTGGTCTGATTTTAGACAAATTCAGACTGCTAACAAGGATACTGAAAAAGAGGAGAAAAAATCATTATGATGCAATTTAATCTTATATCAAAATATAAGAATTATTTAAATTTAAAAGTAACAATCACCTTGCCACGTAAGTTGCATTTCCAACTAATGCAAAAACAAACATTAATGGATTAAGTCCCTACAGTTGATGTGAAAGAAGAGCTTAGTATGTACCAAAAAAAAATCAAAGATTTAACTTTCTAGAACTTGGAGGGGTCCACTCCACTAAATCTGCTGAACAATCTTGAGGTATATTTTGGATAACAACCGCAAGATACCCTTTTCAAGGTAGAAGGAACAATGAAAGTATGTGTTATGAATTAACAAGGATGGGTTTTCCATATGCAAACGTCAGTATTAATTTTTGGGGCTAAGATAAAGTATACTAACATTAGGGGGAAAAACTTTAAGCACAAAGACAGGAATTATAAACCTATCCTTTATCTGGAAAATTCATTTCCTCTATAATGCAAATAAAGAACTCCAAGACAAATATAGAATAGACCTACCCCAACATGTCCTCTTCTAATCTGCAAAATTAATTCAAAGCATAAAGTTAGATTCAATAATAGATAACTGATGGATGACAACCAATATGCAAAAGACTAAGCCAAATTAAAATTTGCACAAAGTATGAAACCAAACAAGCAAGTCAAAACAGAAAACATTTAAAAGTCACTGCATTTTGCATTAAATAACGAATAAACATTAGAAGATTGAAACTTTTTTTATAAATCTACTAGCTGTCATAGAACTTCACATTTAACCAAATCTGGGGAAGCCGTCCACCCATGTATATAGCTGCCATTGCCCAACCGAGGAAGGTCCCAACGCTGCTGCTCCCTTCACCATGATTTTCCAATAATGGTCCACTACTTTTCTGAAAAAAAATCAATTCAGAAAATGGCAAGACAATAAGTACTCTTACCTTCATGCATTTCTAGACACAAACTAAGAAAATAGCCTAGATAAAGAGGAAAAGTACAGAAATTTCAGAAAAATACGAAGTCCTGAAGTAGATTGCAATCAGTGACAACCAAACACAATTCTTACCATAAGATTATTAATCAACTACCACACACACACAACACACTAAAACAAGGATATCTTCCTGAGTATTAATCTTTGTTTTTCTTTTTTTTTTCCTTTTTTTATTTATTTGTTGCATATAAATTGAAAAAATAACTAAAGTAACCAATCACTTTTCAGACTTTCCCATTATCTCCCCTAATCAACTTACCATTATTTTTTTCCTCTGTCTAATTAACTCATCCAATCATCTCTCCTTATTAATCATACCATTAACTCTCTATTCTCCAACAACTCATGCCACTAGTTCTCTCTCAATTAGTCCATTAAATTGACTAAAATGCATTAGTTCTATCTACTCTATATATAGATTCAATTTAAAAATAATAAAAATTAGTAAATCAAATAAAAACTAAAACAAATTTAACTAACAATAATTAATAAAATTAAATTATTAATAACAATAAATAATTCATTGATTAAAAAATAAAATCCATAGAAGTTTGTATCTATATAACCCACAATAAAATGTTATAGCAGAGAGAAGAATAAACACCTTATAGAGATCATGAGGAGCTTGCTTCTTTAGATGTATATGCTACATAAGTTTTGGAGGGAAGTTGTTCTACAAGCTACCTTCTTGATTAACCACATACCATCTCAGGTGCTTCAGTTCAAGTCGCCTTTCAAATTAGTTTATGGCCATGAGCCTCCCTTTAATATTCCCTTGTGTGTTTGGATGCACTTTGCTCATATTCTTGGAGCTTGATAAAGCCCATTACCCAGTGTTGGTCCTAGATATCTGGGATCTTCAGAGGGCTAAACTATATTCAATCCTAACCTTTGGCTTTTTTGGCACAAAGTGGCCACTCACAGACTGGAACCTGCATTCTCATATTTTCCAGCTCATGATCTTGCACCATTACTCACCCTGGCATTACATTTACAATAAGTATGATTAGTTATATAAATGGACCTAGAACCCTCACTTGCAGGCATCTTATCATATATTGAATTACTTGAAAGCTTCCTCTGGTCATGAATTGTTGTCTGAGATCATAGAAATTTGTTGTTTGAAAATGCTAGTTGAGCAGCCTTACCTTCACATAGGTGAACAACCATAGAATATTGTACTTTTCTAGGAAGTAATCTGGTCACCAGTAAAAGTAAGAAGCATAACAGCTTGGAAAGGTCAAAATGCATAAGCAGAACATTGGGTTTTTTCACATACAACGTGTAAACTAATATGGGTCAAAACATTTTTACTAGAATGGGGAATAACTCCCTATGAGATTGCATTGTGATAAACAAGTGATTATCCACATTGTAACTAATCTAGTATTTCAAGAAAGGACCAAACATATTGAAGTTGACAACCACATATAAGGTTTGTAATAAGATGCTTAGAAGGATATTCTTACTCTTTATGTTAAATTTGAGAATCAGTTAGCTGATCTGTTTATTAAGTCTTTGATTCATCCTTAGGTAGACTTCATTTTTAGTAAGTGGGATTATATGATATGTACCCATCTGCTTTGAGGGGGAGTGTTATGTCATCATCGTCATTCACCCCTTATCAGTGGCTTCACAATATGCCTTTTTAAAGGGGTTTCGGGAACCACTCTTTTTTAATAAAAAATATGCCCAAAAACCAAATTTTGAAAAAAAAAAAAAAAAAAACGCGTTAATTTAAGTACTGGGGCGTATCGATATTTTGAACCTTGCTTACCCTAACTATATGGGGTTGGCTACATGAATCCTGTTTTGCCAATCCATTCTATTTAATGCTGAGGGGGAGTATACTATTTTATTATCTAGAGGGCAGTTTAGTCAGTTAATATATAGTGTTTACTTAAGAAGGGCAAACTAGTCTTGATATTTATTTTAAAGTGTACTATGTACTCAAGAGTACCATCTTTATCTTTACATATAAAAAGTGGGATGTGTGCAAGTGAGTGATATTTCGACTCTAACATCATCTCTTTTCCTTCTCTCTTCCACTCATTCTTGCTTCAATCTATAGATCAAGTGGTTTTAGATCATAGAGGTTGCTTGGTCCAACAATGGAATCTTTATCTCCCAAAATAAATATCTTACAATCTTCTCAAAGATTCAAAAAGCAAAGTGTCAATCCAGCTCATAGTTGCCAAGGCGACAAGGCGCTCTTGGAGGCTTGCCTCGCCTAATCACCAAGCACTTTTCTATAGTGTGTTAGAAAAAACTTTTATATTCTTAATTTTTTGAGATTATAATTTAAAATAGATTTTAAACTAAAATATTCATTTTGTGTGTTTATGTACTAATTTCTTTTTATTATTTTCTTATTTGTTAGGGTTTAATCAACACAAACATTGCTAAATGCTGTATTCAACCCTGAAAGACTTCAAAAAGAGGGTGTGGCGCTTTGTGCTTAGGAGGTGTATTTTGACTCCTAAAAGAGGGTGGTTCAGGTTTGGAAGAGATTGGGAAGCTCTGGTAGGAGCGGCTGCATCTTCTCTCTTCCCCCCAACAGTTGGACGGAGTAAAACCCTAGTTTTCAAACATCTGGGTTCTGGTTTGACTTCAAGTAAGTTTATATAGACCAAATTTCTGGTTTTTTTATTTTCGTTTGATTAATGGAGCCATATGGAAGTGAGTTCAAGCAAGTGTCAGTTTCCGGCCTCAGATCGGTAGATTCCGTTTTGACTAGTGTGACCACAATCAAGCTAGATGGGACAAATTATCTTGCTTGGGCACAATCCATAAGAATTTATGTCTGTAGTAGAGGAAAACTCGGGTATCTCATAGGTAGTAAAGTAAAACCCGAAGAGACAGACGCTGAATTTGAGAAATGGATGCAGGAGAACTATACAGTCATTGGGTGGTTGGTCAACTCTATGCAAGCTCATATAAGTCAGCATTATCTCTAGATGTCTTCAGCCAAGGAGATATGGGACAGTGTTACTGAGACCTATTCACAGAAGTTGAATGTAGCCAGAGTCTACAAGTTGAAAAGTGACGTGAAAAACCTAAGACAGGGGGAGAAGAGTGTAGCAATCTACTATTCTATACTAAAATCTCTATGGCAAGAAATTGGTGTTATGGAGACAGTTGTATGGGAGAGTAAGAATGATGCTGAAATGTATAGGAAGTTGGTCGAAAGAAATAGGGTGTTTGAATTTCTTATTGGACTCAACCTTGAGTTTGACATCATTAGGCAAAATATCTTGGCCAAAGATGATGTTGCTATTTCCCAGGCATATGCTATGATAAGCAGTGAGGAGAGTAGGCGACAAGTTCAGTTACAGAGTCTACCTACAGAACACTCTGCACATGCTGGAATAAAGCCAAAGGGTCCTCCTGAGAAAAAAGATAAGATATGTGAATATTGCAAGAAACTGAGGCATACAAAGGACACTTGTTGGAAGATTCATCCTGAGCTTCTTCTTGACAGGTTTAAGAATAACAACAGTTCTAAGAAGGGCAGTCAGGCAGGAAAGCTTAAGACAGCTAATGTTGCTACAGTACCTGAAGGAGGAAATAAGGAGAGTGAAGAAAAATCAACCATTGAGCAGTTGGCAGCAATGAAGGCGGATTTTGAAAATTATGGGAGGCTGCTAAATCACTTGGAAGCTACTGTTTCTTCATCTCACTCTTCCAGCAACACATCATCATCATCAGCATTTGCTCACTCAGGTATTCGTGCTTCTGCAAATCATGCTTYAGTTTCAGGTAATCATAAAATCCCTTGGATTATTGATTCCGGTGCATCAGACCATATGACCAACCTATCTAATCTCTTCTACTCATACCACCTTCTCTCTGATAAAGAGAAAATATCCCTTGCTGATGGGTCTCTTGCTCCCATTTCTAGTAAAGGGGATATAAAGACCTCTGGCACCCTTTATTTATCCTCTGTCCTTCATATCCCTAAACTTAATACAAACCTTTTATCTATTAGCAGCTTAACTAAATCCATGAATTGTAGCATAACCTTTTTTCCCAYTCATTGTGTTTTTCARGACCTRCAATCTCAGAGGATGATTGGGAGTGGCCATGAGGCGAACGGAATATACTTGCT